CACAATACCTCGTTGCGTATCTTTCATATTCAAACTTCCTTATAATCAGTTATCCTCAAAATCAGTTTCACTAGAAATAACCTTAAAGCGTTCTTCAAAAACATTTACCAAAAAAAGACACTTCTACAATAGCTCTCAATTTTCTAATAGCTCGTCGTACACAATTTTCTGAAAGCTTATAATGCACCTGCAATTTTCTAAAAGCTTATAAGATAGTTTTAAAACAGTACATCGTGAATTTGCTTAAAGCGTTCTTCAAAAACATTTACCAAAAAAAGACACTTCTACAATAGGTCTCAATTTTCAAATAGCTCGTCGTACCAATTTTCTGAAAGCTTATAATGCACCTGAAATTTTCCAAAAGCTTATAAAATAGTTTTAAAACAATACATCGTGAATTTGCTTAAAGTGTCAATAATCTAATAGTCCGTCCAATCTCGCGAAATGAAAGCGGTCTATGGCATTGATGCAGTTATAGTAGCGATCATCGAGTCGTTTTTCACCGACCTTTCCCCCCAAAAAGGATCGCGGCCGTGTCGGCTGCAACACAGTCCGCGAAGTTCACTTTCCGCCCGCGGAGGTGAGAGCTCCATGGGAAGCTTCTGCCCGCTACCTTACCGCGTCGAACATGCCCATAACTTGTTCTTAAGCATGTGGAAACGCTTTCAAATCGTGGTGCGGCCAACGAGGTTACGAGTCGAATTAGTGGCCATGCCGAATCGCCGTAGATTAAGGAGGTGCTGACGAACGTCCCTCGCTAATGCGACGTTATTGCGCTTGATCGAACATATTTCACGCACGGTTCTGCCACGTCCTCTCGTTTTATTGAAACCACTGTACTGTTATGCGTGATTGATCGCTTATCGCGACGCGTTTGTTGCTTCAGGAGGTAGCGAAGGATTCGATTTTTGAGGAGTGGCTTGATCAAAAATTTAGATGTTGGTGATTTGGAGGATTAGGTGGGTTTATTTATTATTAGGGGTTTTTAAGATTATTTATTTGGAACGTGAGGATGATATTGGAGGTTTAGTTGGAATAAACTGAAGGGTGAAATTTTGATACTTCACTGCTTCAGTACTTTTATATTTCTATATTTCTATGACTCTGACATACATGTATCTCCACATGTATATCTCTCCATAAGTATACCCCAATATCTTTATGTCTCTGTGCAAATATACAAAGCTTGTACATTTATAATTTTGGAAGCTTGTTTCAGGAAAATTTGTAAACTCGTACTCCTCCATTAAATCCCCAAATTAACAAACTTATAAAGAAATGTAAACCCCAGCGTCCATAACCTCCTAACACCCTCCATCTCAGTTTTACAACACTTGTTCTGCGTCGTACAGTGGCAACATTCTTAATTTCCATAATCCATACGAATCGCTCGTTAATTTCCACAAAGATAATTAGCAAAGAATTGCATAAAGATGAGTCAACAACAAGGTAACAAATCATAACGGGAAACCTCCATCAGCCGATAAAAAACGTCCGCATCTAAAGTACACACCTACTATTTAATTGAATGTTCCGAGAACGAGGCACGTACTTGTGCATCGTCGATTGTGAAGTAAAAACTACAGACCGACCGTAAAGTGGTCGTAAAATACCGCGTTGCCGAGGAAGAGAAGCGCTTAGCGGCAATCTTTCAACGGATAAGTTATTCAGTGCCGCGTGTTACGTGGCAAAAATAGGATTACACCGGCTGGAAATATTTGTAAATCCAGGAAAGACATCAACGATTGTAGGAGAGGTAAACGTTCAACGTCTCGGAAAGCGCATCAACGGGTCGTATTCAATCATCGTGACATTCAGCTCACGACTTTTGCCCCAGGAGGTGAGAGCAGCTTCCAGCAGAAGCATAAAGCGAACAGGATGCACTGGCTGCAATCTTGTTCGCCCGTGCTATACACCTTCGAATCGCTTAAAGCTTGTTGCACAATTGCAAAATTCTGCACGAATACTGCTGAAAAATCTGCTTTGCTGGCCAGTGAAAGTTTCAGGGATTTCATATTTTAACTTCATTCGAATTTCGTGAGATTTGATGTCGTAGCTTTTTTGTATGATTTTCATGTGTGATTCATTTGCTGTTTGGGTATTTGGGAGCGAGTTCAATGCTGATGGGTGGGATTTTGGTTTAGGGTGGATTTAGGTGGATTTAGGGTGCAAGGTTTAGGGTGAATTCAGTGAGCAGGATTTTACTTCAGGATAAATTAGGTATCGAGGTTTGTTGATAGCGTTAAGAGTCCATATTGAGAATTCAATTCTCTGTTAGATTTTTAGGAATTTGATGATTTGCACAATGAGAGATAAAGAAATTAAGAGATTGACAAATTTAGAGACTTGTGAACTGGGAATCTGTGAATTTACATATTGAAGATATAGAAATTATGAAATTGATAAAATTAGAGGGTTGTCAAATTTCTCAATTAAATCAGTAATAAAGAAGACCCTCTTCTGTCATCTTACAAGTGCATAATTTTCAAAAACTTTTTACCTAATAAATATCTAAATTAAAAGAGTCGAATCGTATCCTTGAAGCCTCGTCAATATGTACCAGGAAGAGACACTTAAGTAAGCCGTAGCTAATTCAATGTTTGCTAATTCTTTTCCTTTGTGCGTCTTCCGGTCCAGCGTCTCTTTTTCGAATCCGGTAAAACTAATTGAGTCAAGATGTACCTGGTTGGACAGCGTATTGTGACAGGAATGATAATTTCGTGCAAACACTCGGCTATTTTACGCCTGCAGGAGGCCTGTCTCGATCACGAATACCTTAGTCTTTATTCTTCTCCTTTCTCTCATCCTTCGGCTCGTTACGATTTGCGTGACGACCACTTCGAAACAGTGCCCGTGTACGACTCATCAGAAACTCGTTTTAAATATACCGCGATCTGGAACGGACAGTCGAAAGCGATTTTAAATGGCCACCACGTTTCCATTTAAATCGTGTTGGTATTTCAATGTTTGAAGTTGAAGAGCCACTTCAAACAACTTCGACACGTCACTACATTTTAACGTCTACATTGTAATTATTCTGGGAACTAGCTTTTTCTTGGTGATCTTTAACGTTGTTTATTCTGACGATCTACGTTTTTATTTCGAGCTACGATCTTTCAATTTTGCTTTAATTTTATTTTGGACTTCTTTTTAGAAATTATTGCTTGGAGCTCTTTTGATTTGTTTTCTTTTTGGTTCCATGTTTGAATACACACGAAATTTATTGTATACGATGATAAATATAATATCTAGAAAATATAACTTCATAATTTATTAAAACTTTTAATAAAGCAGTCAAAAATTAGATTTTGTATTATAAAAATGTATCTTCTCTATTAGGTTATGTTTGATCCTACGTTCGCCATATTTGCGACACATAACGCCATTTGCCTAACGAAACCAAGCTTCACACTTTAAAATTAAGCTATAAATACTACTTCGTGTTAAATATAACATACTCATGACTTTAATCGAGTCGTTCAATCTTCCTACATATCAAAATGAAATACTTCATAGGATACAATCTGACAGTATCTGCTAAACGATTTTTCACATCGAAATGCCATTATAGTGACATTCTTCTTTAGATCTACTAGTCATTGTTGCTTCACCTCATTGATTCATTGCTGCTTGATATCTGAACTCCATTTGTTATCTGTCGGTATTTCTTTCATCTAACTGTAAGTTATATTGCTTTATTACTTGATGCTGAAGTTGATACAGTGAATAACGTAATGAAATAGCAGACACCGTATCAAAGTAGAAACAGACAACCTTTGCACGACATGCGATATGACATGGGTCATTAACACGTTAACTGTCGCGGTGGAAATCGTACGACGTAAATTCTAATTATTAATATTATCAAATTATTTTCAAATTTTAGTATTTACGTGTTGAAATTTAAGTTGGAGATTTTTCAAGTTTTAAGTTTTTTTAAAATTCTAAAATTTCTAGGTTTGCAATTCTTTGAGGTTTTAGGCAAGTTTCAGAACCCTCAAGTTCTCACTCTTCAAGTTTCCAATTTCAAAATCTTCAAATCCTAATTTTCAAGTCTTACAATTCCCACATCCCCAATGTCTAAATTCTTAATTTAAAAATTCTCAAATCTCTCATAATTCTAATTTTAGAATCCATTACAATTTCCACCCTAACCACCCCAAGTGAACAAAAAGGTCCGCAAACTTTTAATTTAAAAAATATCACAAACCCCACCATAGAATAACTCCCACAATAAATTGCAGTGTAAAACATAATAAGTAGCCCATAAAAAGCAGCCTTAAACAAAAAATAGCAGCATCCGGAAAATCCTCGTTGAAGCACAGGTTGAGAACCACCGTCGAAACGGATGAAAGAATATCAGCATGTCCGATTGTTCGTGGTTCCAGAGAAGAGCGCGATCGAGAGGCGAAGGAAGATCGGGTCGGCTCGGGATAAACTTGTACGGAAGAGAAACGGAAAGCGGGCAGAGGGATCGAGGGAGCGAAAGTCGTCCATCAAAAGGCCCCGAGGGGCCCATTAAAATAATTCAATTAAACGGACAACAAATCAAGCGGCTCTCGGTGGGACGAGGACATCGGGATGAACACGGTCACCCGATAACTTTCGTCGGGATCCTGCGCGGTGGAAAAAAGGAAGGGAACCGCGGTGGATTTCGTGAAAATGTTGCGTCCCGGTGCCGGCGCGGGCAGTGCAGGCGCGGGCAGAGCGCAGAAAAAGAGCAGTAGAAACGTCGGTTTTACGACTTGGCGAAATTTATTGGTAGGCCGGTAGGGTGGGACGTGCCCACAAGTACATTGCGATTCCCCGAAAGCACACGGAGAGGTGTCACGCATACGTCGTCTTATCTCTCTTCGAGAGAAAAGCAACAAAATCTTGTCTCACCGGGCTGACCGTGCGCCCCGGTTCATTGTAAAGCTAGCAATACAGGCATAGATGTATACATACATATATACACATACATATTTATATTTATGTATATATACATACGTATTTATAGATACACGTCTAATTTATAATATAACACAATATATAATATAATATATATAAAATATATATATAATAACATTATTATCACTTCTATTAATCGGTAAAACGTGATACAGCTCTACAGGATCGAGATGCCTATCGATGGCTACGATGCACACTGACTAACGACTATTTCTTTTTTTTTCGATAACGTTCATAAAATAATTATTAATAATATTAATAAAAATAATTATTAAAATAATAATAATACGTTTCGTGATAATCGCATTGCCCGCAATAGTATATTCAAAGACGCAGCGATATGTAATTTTTTAAGCTATGTACAAAGCACGACTGTTCCTTACTCCTTTCCATTCCATACAGAGGAAACACTAGTGTTCGGCGATCGAGCCGCCATGTCTCTTCATTTTTTCGCTCCCAAAGTCGTCACCGTGGACTTTTCGAGCTGGTCAGCATTATCGATCTCGAATCGATCTTCGAGACGCCGCAGCTCGAAGTCCGGTCGTTTAAACAATTATTTTTGCTTCGCATCCATGCTGTGTAAGTGTATGTGTGCGTGTACGTGTGTCGACGTGTGTACAGATTAATCGCGTTTAATTTACAAGGAGACTATAAAACTAGCCTCGCGAATAATACACGCGCTCCTAAACGGGAAGATGAACAAAAAATGTACAGAGCTGAGACACCGTAATACATCGAATTTTTTTTACAAGACTGCGCGTATTGCGTGTGCGAATTTTGAGTTGAGTGTGGATAATTTCGAGCGGTTTTGTGACGGAAAGAAAAATAGTTGTTTCGACTGTTGCGGAGGGTTTGTTTTTTCTCGGTAGGAACAGCGTGACGCACGACGATTCTTTTGAGGTTAGTTTCCATCAAAAATGGCTGTCAATTCTTTAATCCCTGTTGCTGATTTCATACAACTTTCGTTTATTTTTAATTTTGAAAATATGCAAACTTTCAAATTTCTATATTTTTATTTACTCTACTAGAAATTTTATTGCTAATTATCAGCTGGAGGGATTAAATAATTTTAATCCTGTACGAATCCTCAATCATACAGTTTTCAGAATAGATTTATACACTACTTAATGCAATTGAATTGTTTAATTAAATTATTGGAATATTCATTCAGATAACTCAATTATAAATACTTCACTATAGAAATATATTTTAAAATATTTTTGCAAAATTACAAATTTTAGCTGAGTTATCTCTTTGAACAATTCTACAGAATTATATATCTGATACAAAAATAGTATACTAAACATTCAATGTTCATATCTTCAGATATATTCAGTTAAAAATTTCTTCAATTATTTTAAATAGTGCATTTACAAAATTCTATAAATCTGAACCTTTTGTAAGGCCTTATGGAGCTGTCATATTCTCTATCTGATGTTTACATTCAATTTTACTTAAAAAGTACAGAGGACATCTTTTGCATAAATTAAAGAATGATCAAACTATTAGAGTCACCTTAAAAAGAAAGTCTGCTTTTATTGAATTATTATTTCTGAATTATTAGACCCAGTGATAATACAAACAATCAATCGAAAAATACAGGAAGAACATTTGCACTGTAGCTCCAATGATTTGATCGCCCATCAAGAAATGACAATTTAGAACAAACTCAAAAAACTTGATAAAATCTCCACACTCTCTCTCAGATACAAAACCGAATTTTCGAAAAAAGTTAACGAAAGAAAAAAGTTACTGAACCTCAAGTTCGCCATGTTCGTCGTTCGTCATCGCCGTGAGAGGCGCTCGGTTCACAGTTTTGGGTAGAAGTAACTTTTCCACGCCGATGTCCGGCCGACGTAGCCCGCAGAAAGTCTCGGGGATATATGGTGTCACCAACGGATGGCCGGGAAACGTACCGAGCTGATCAATCATGCCATTCTAATCGAACGATCCCGCTCGGTCTGCGCGAAATCGAAGAGACACTTGGAGCGGACGGTTCATCCAGTGGAAATCGATCCCAGCTGACTGGTATTTGCGTCAGCGGACCCGCCTTGTTTCACGTTTCCAAGGTCGTCTGGTCGCGTCTCCAACAACGGCGAGCTCTCCAACAACGTCGATCCATTTCCACGTGCACCACGCGCCGATACATTTTCACGGATCGCTGATAAATCGCGTCGAATTGGCCCTCGAAAGCTGCAGCTGCCCGCGCGGACGTCGCTCCGGGCCTGGGCGTGGTTTCACGGTAGCATCGGCTCTTCGGTAGCTACTTTTGAACCGGGTTATTACGCGGTCCAATTTGGGATTCTAGCCCGGGGTCCTGGCATTACGGTGTTGACACGGATCATTCTTTCTCCTTCGAATTCAAATTAACCGCTTCCGGGCGTCTCGATCGGCTACCCTTTCGTATTCAAATTTCCTTCTCTCGGAGGTTGACGTCTTGCTCCAAATTCTCTGTCACCTCTGCCCGTAATTAGATCCTAAGACTAATGTATCATTCTGCTGCTTGTTCACGCGGAAACTTGTTCGGGAACCGGAGAGTTTCAAGGTCGCTCAAAATCTTCGAAGGGTTCGATCGCGAAGAGAGAGCCAGATGCAACCTCGACCTTGGCCTGATTGCTTCATTCCCATGGATGGCATCTCGTTGACTCTGTTTTCCACGATTAACTTGTTACGTGGTGTAGGAGAAAGCAGGAACTATGGACGGGTAGATTCTTCAAGATAACCAAACTGGTTGGGTACTCGTTGTCGTCCATCCTGTTGCCGATAACGATTTCCCTGTCCGTTCATTCATTTTCCACAGTCTTATGCAACTTGGTCCCCACTCGTCAGCCCAATTTTGAAACACCTTGTAATGAACCAGTTTCTCGCGTTCTCTTTCATCAGCGTGTGAACGAGTTGTAAATCCTCGTAGTCTCAAAGAAGTCTACAGGTCTCAGACAGATCCATAAGCTCTCAAACGGATCCACAAGGTTTCAGAAGATTCACAAAGGTCTTGGGTGTCCACAAATGTCTCGGACAGGTCCACAAAGGTCGCAGACAGGTCCTTAGTGTACTGGATCAACTTCATCAGCAATTGTGACTCGGCTCTCTAGGATGACTCTTCTGGCTGTTTCTGTCTCTCGATGTCTTTGTCGCGATCAGTTTCGATGACTTGCTGTGGCTGACGTCTAGGTGTCTAGGCTCGGAATACAGGAAAGTGGCAAAAGCTTTGAGACGAAACAATCGAAGAAGCGGAATGGAGGAGCGAGAAGCGAGGTTTAATAGGCGAGGAGACGATTAGTGTCCACGGAACTGTTTCCCTTTGCGACTCGGTAGGCTGGCGTTAAGTCGTTTCGAGCTGATAATTAATCGACTCGGAGAACCGACAGACGGACATCGAGTAGGATAGGCGCGTGGTCGGATCAAGAAGTTCTCGGAATTTCGACGTAACACTTCATTTTTATCAGTGCTCTATCTCGAAGAACCTTCTATTCTATATTTCACGTTGCTCGCTCTCTTGTTCGTCGAAATACTGAACTCTAATTTTTTATCGCTTTTAACATTCTTAATGTTTTAACATTCGTTTAGAATTTTCATTGTTAAGGTTCATTCTTAACGTTCATTTTTAGTATTCATTAATTTTGATTTTTAATATACATTCTTTAATATTAATTCTTTCATGCTGATTCTTAATGTTCATTCTCAATATTATTTCATTACATTCATTTATAATGCTCATTTTTAATATTCATTCTATTTGACATAATTTTATTTAAATATACTTTTAATTCAAATATAAATTTTGGCAATCGATTTCAAGTACGATTTCGAGCAATGTATTCTTCAGCTGATGTTCATAGTTCAGCAAGAAGTGAAATTTATCTGAATAATGATATTGAATTATTTCTCAGAACAAGACAGCTTCAGCAATAAGCAAAATATATCCATTCACTCGTGTCGTTTAACAAAAATTGTTAAAGAACGTGGCTAGAGAATACTGTTTCTTAAACTCAACTACATAACCTATACGTTCACTATAAATAAGTTCACGGATGAACATAACCTATGAGTTCATAAATGAATAACATAACTTATGAGTTCATAAATGAATAACATAACTTATGAGTTCACGAATGAACAACATAACCTATGAGTTCACGAATGAACGTAACCTATAAGTTCATAGTTCGACTACATAACCTATAAGTTCACAGATGAACAACATAATCAATAAGTTTACAAATGAGTAGTATATATAAGTTCAACATAATCTAGAAGTTTGTGGTTCAACTACATAATATTAAAGTTCAATCACGTAACCTTAATCTTGTTGATCTTTTAGAAAAATTAAACTCGTGAAATTTTGATAAAAGGTTTAACCCTTTGGGGATGATGAAAACATGCTGAAGAAGTCTACAAAAAAGAAAGATAATGGCAAATATTTATTTTGTGACGAATAAAAATTGTGGTAGAAAATTATTTAATTTTTTATGAGTCAGAAAAATTTCATCCCCAAAGGGGTCGAAAGGTTACATGATTGCTGTTCTACAATTTTCACGAGCTATCCAAATGTCGCGAGTCGCGATGAATTTATTTCGAGGTTGTAGCGTTTGTTTAAGAACAGATCTGAAGCCATAGCAAGGTTTCGAAATGTACAGAAATTCCAAAAACTGATTGAAACAGTGCCGATCGCAACCAGAGTAACCTAATAAGAAAAGAGCGAAACGCGCGTCTACGGGATTACATAGGATGAATTAGTTGGCCGGATGGCTTCTAGTACCTAGAGTAGCCATTCGAATAGCCATTTGAGTAGCCGTTGGAGCCCTTGTAGGGAACAGAGTGTATGCTCCTGGAACAAAGATGGTCGAAATCGGAAGATGAGGAAAGTAAACACTTGAGAGTTGATCAGCTTCCTCTCTAACTTATTTCTCCTCCTGGTTAGCAAATCAATTCCACCACGTGTCGCGAGTGCGGGGGGAATATCGTGCGGGCTCTGTGTTAGTAGAAGGCGATAAACGCGATCGTAGATCGTAGCAGAAGAGCGAAAGAAGAGATGGTTGATGGTGGTGGTCGTGGTAGAGAGTTAAGCATGCTGAGCGTATCATTTTTTTTTCCTCCGTTCGTTTTTCTTTTTTTGTTTTGTATTTTTTTTCTGTCGTGGTGGCGGTACACGATGCACGAGAACCGAACTTGTCTTCGTGGTTGCGGGAGACTTCGAGCGAGTATCCAAGAAAAAGAAGAGGACAGAACAATGGAGAAGTGAAAGAATCGTGTCAAAATATATATAGAGATAATAATAAATGGAAGTATATGGATAGCAATATTTTTGTTGTTATAGATTGTTGTTGATGTTTGAATAATTTTTGTTGATCATGTTGATGTTGTTGCGTGTGCATTGTGTGTGTGTCAAGGTGCAGGAGATTCAGAGCTCCCGCTCACCGCCACCCACATCTACAACAGAACAGAAAACAAGACCACCGCCGTTACATACAAGGTATCCATTAGTATCCACCAGTATCGAAGATTTATTTTATCGCTCGCTCGTTCGACCGCGCGCTCGCGCGAGTTTGCTCGCACGTTCCATGCGGAGGCAGCATTATTTCAGTCTGATTTATAGGGGTCGTAGTGATCTTCAAACCGTGACGGACAACGAGAGGCGCCAACTATAACAGTCTTCGATACTCTCTTGTTTTATCGTGATTAGGATAAGAACTAAGGTCACTGGGAATTCGGATCAAGTTCAATAGCAGTCTGTGCCGCGGAGGACTTCTTTGGATAAGTTTCGAAGGAACCTTCCACCATTTTACTTTTCATTGAATAACAAAATCTATCAAGAATTAATTTTGTGAGCTTACTAGAAATTTTTTATACAAATTCGACAAAACAGGGATCAATTTTTTATGAAGAAAAAGGTTAATTCTAAAATAGAAGCATAACTACCGTCAAAATTCTATAAAAATTATGTCCAATTTATATTACAATTTGACCTATTGTTTCTTTCTTTTTCACTCCTCTCGTGTTTTTATTTTTAAGAATTTATCGCGTAAATAAATGAATAATTTGCATAATTTGAATCTGCCTATTGCCTCCATTTTATAGCACAGTAAAACTGTATATACACAACAAAATTTCATTTGAATATATCTAAAAAGTAATACACTTTGTAAAATCAAAATTACATCTGTTAAAATTGAGAAGAATTAAAAATTCGATCAAACAATTTTCAAGATAATTCTCCTTTGTCGAAACTCATTATAATTGTCTTTGCTAAAATTTTCTCCTGAACATTCACAAATCCCTCTGATTAACAATATAAATAAAACCGAATAATAATGTTTCGGAGGCTTCCCAGATTCAGCAAAAAATTCCTAAAAATATTTTTGCGTTCGCATAACATAACAGCGAAAACGTTGTATACGTTGTAGGAGCAGTCAGTTTCCAACAAGCTGTCAAATAAATTCGTTGACGCAAATGAAGTGTTCAAGCCACGAAAGCAATGCGACTAGAAACGAAAAAGAGAGACGAAAGAAAGAAACGTTACTGCTTTTGAAGAGGAATTTGCATTTTGAACGGTAATTAACTGTCCACCTGGCAGAATTACGATCATTAGAGCTGTATTTTATGTCTCATCGACGTCCCACGAGTCGATTCTTGTTCGATCGTCGACGACCGACGGAACGCGAACTAGAACCTGCTTAACTTTCCATTTTCAGCCTTATCATTCCGCCATTTGCAACTCTGATCCCACGAAATTTGTATCAATGTCGTAAAACACCTTATCTCAAAGGTCTTTCGATAACGACACACGTACTGCAAATGTATGTCAAGTTTAATGTCGAATTGCCTTTCTGCGACTTTCAACGGTTTCGAAATCACGATTCTACGTTTATATTGCAAAAATTTAGTGCGTGTTATATAGCACAATGGACAACTAATACTTTAGGAATTTTACAGACAACAAGGAAGCTAATTGTAATTATTCGGACCTGACTTTTTTATGTTTCAATTTAAGTCTACCAGTTACTTTCTTTTTTTTGTACTAGAATTTTTATTCATATATTTATGGTCATTTATACTATGAATTTAATTATGTGAAATTAAAAAGTAAAACTGGTTCTAAATACATTCAAATCACACTAATAATGTAGAGCAGTAGAAAAAATTAAACTTGAACATCAATAATTCACTTCGTCGCGTGTCTTACTACGTACGGCTGCATCTACTGTGCCAGCGAAAGTTCATTTTTTTTTTCTCCCCATTTATATTTCTAAAACACTTACTCCATTAAAAACACTAAATTTTCCACATACTAACATTCTAATATTCTTTCAAATTTTTCCACATGACTATGAAAATTAAATATTTAACTGTGAATTAAAGTGTAACATGATTTGAATAATAACAGTAAGGTAAAAAATGTACAGAGTACAAAGTGTAAAAGTATACCAAAAGATTTGCAAAAATGTCACAATTCTTGCAACATGATTAACATATTCAAAAGGAACCTATCGCATGGAACGTGCTGCAAACTCGAGGCATGTCAAATTGTCCACCTTTGTTTCCGAAAGATCTCATTGTCGGTTACTCGATGAATCGTAATATTGAAGTTTGTTGCAACGGTCTGTGCTCCGATCATCGGTAAGTACACGTAGAAGAATTGACGACTGGTCGGAAGGAAATGATCCCGCATGGTGAGTCACTAAATGAAGTACTGTCTTCGCTGCATTATCCTTTTTCGTCTTACAAAAGGTCGTACCGGTGACCCGACCGGTTTTCGAAGTGGTCCCTATGTTCTTGCTCGCTTGGGTCAATACACAATACACGCGGCTAGTTTCAATCGACGGTATAGTTTCGAACAAAAGCTGTTTCAACACGATCGAAATTTCCACATGTCAAATAATTCGAAGCACATCGAATTCTACTACGTTTCAAAAAAATTCGATAACTTTCATAAAATTAGAGTGTCGTAACTTTTCACTTGTTCCGAAAGTCGAACGATAACCTAGAGCACGAATATCACAGTTGCAAAAATCGCGATAATTTTGTAAAATTAACGAGAACTGTTATTAGGTAGATACCGTTCACAAGTGTTCGATGATCGTTCGCGACGGCGGATGAGCGGAGCACAAACACGTCTTCGATGATCTGTCATTGTCGAAGCGAGCCGTAACGAGCGGAAAAGCGGGGACCAGCCACGAAATCGATCGCGCGATCGCAGAACCTTCAGACACCGGGATCACCATGAACTTCACACCGCGATACGGGCGCAGCACACTATGACCTTTTCCCTCGCACTAATTCATTCGCAACCGTCACTCGGTTACGCGCGCGGTGCCGCGCAAAAAGTTGCTGGCAGATGCTCGCGATAAAGGGAGAGAAAGAACCGAGGGAATCGAGCCGCACTATTAAACCGGGCACAGATGAGAGAGAAAAAAAGTGATCCCAGGTCTGATCGATGTCTGGCCGGCGCGAGTATCAACCTCGGGACCAGTCCCGTCGCCGAGCGGCAAATTAGAAGAGGCTCAACAAAAAAATTCTTCTATATATACGTATAAAAAAATCTGATTTGTATCGTAGGTATATTTCTAGATATTCGAGAAGAATATTCGAAAAGGCAAAATGTACCTGTGCTGCTTGAGGTTGTCCTGCCGCTTGAAGGACTTTCCGCAGACCTCACAGGTGAAGGTCACGTCGTCCTTATGGCTGCGCTCGTGGATCATGAGGTTGTAGGGCTTCGTGAAGCGCCGCTGGCAGTACTTGCAGACGAACTCTACCGTGCACTTGGCGCGCATCTTCTGCCGGCGGCCGAACTCCCTGCCGTGCCCCTCTGTCTCCATCGGCATTATCGCGAACATCCTTATAAATTCCCACCGCTCCTTCTCTTGGTCGACTCTCTGTCTCCTTTCCCTCTACCTCCTCTCTCTCGCGGTCCTGCTAACGCCTCGAGTCACTCCCTCCACCCGATTCTACCTCTATACGCTTCTCTGTCCCTCGCGTACGCTCGTTTTTCGCTCTTTCACGGGCTTCCTTCTGGTCCCTCTCTTGCTGCTCGTGTCGCTCTTCTCCTCCCGCGCAAACCTAGTCCCGACCGGCTAACTCCTGCGAGTGAGATCACTCTGCCTGTACCTCCTCGCGGGAACACGATCGTGTACCCTTCTTTCTCTCTACCTGCGGGAAATAAAGGAGCAATGATTTTCGGATCGATTCCCGTCCGACGTCCCTGACACTCGTCACCAGTCCACTGCCTATTTTTCTACAAACTTACTTTTACCTGTCGGCTATTGCTATCTTACGTTCACGAAACTTACATATAGAGGTGGTCTTACTATCGTGTGCTCGTTAAAATTAGATTCAGAGACTGCCAGGTGATTTGGAGCAGGTACAGGAAGAATCGACCTCGCCCAAACCGCTTGCTAATGTACAGGAGTACATGAATTGATCATACTAACTTTGGAATGAGCTGGTGGGACTTTGAAGAGGAATAGGATTTATCATATGTGAAGAATACTACATTCTACCAAATAGGTTATTGTAGCCTGACTCAATATGATCTGAACGTCTATGTCTGGCGAACATACTGAATGTCCTAAACCTCAAATGGTCCGCAAACTCAACTTCTCCAGATTGACCACAATGATCTGTTGGAACTAACCCTTGACTAACATCCACCATATTAAATAGAACCTACTTTTATTTCAATCGACTTAATGCTACTTCCTCATCCTCAAGTAGAGAGCCCCTTAAATCATAAGTAATAAGTGCCTTCAGCCCCTAATCCTATATAAGCATCTAGAAACTCAGAAAGCTGTCATGAGCGTAGGTTCGCAAACGACGTAACAGTACCTCTAACCTTTCACAAAAAAGGCAACCGAAGTTCTAACCGAAAGAGGAAGGTTAGAGGCGTCGTTCGACGAGTATGACCGTGTATCGAGGTCAAATCGAAAGTAACGACGTGGAGACGAACGCGACGTAGGAGGAAGCTTATTGCTCTGGTGGTCAGTCGTCGAAAAGAGGGGTCCCGCGGAGCGGAGAGGCAGCAATAAAAAAGGCCCCCGGGGTCTGATCGCGCGGTCCGCCGCGGCCATTGTGCAGGAGCCACGTCCAGGTGCTACTGGTAGCGCAAGGTAAGCACACGGCGCACGCTCGAATAAAGTGGCGTGTCCGAATGAGTAATAAGCGTGGCTGGGCGTATCCCGGTTGGTTAGGCTGCCTAACGGCGGTGGGGCCTAATCGGAGCTGCGTGTTACGCACGAATCTGCTCTGCCCGCTTTTTGCTTTCCTCCTCTCCGCTTGACGCCGGCCTCGGGCTGACGAGACAGGGTCCTCCGATTCGTGGATTCGAGCCGCTTGCTCCATACCTTTGGAGCAGTTTGCTTCGGAACTAGAAACCATTTCTGATCATTTTTGTGGAAGACATTTTGAAGCCTTTATTTGGACAAGATTGGCCCTGATTTTTGGTATTGTGTTCAACACGAAAATAATTTATACTCTTGTTGTTCCGATGAGGGGATTGAGTATGAAGATTTCAGGCTCGTATCTATGAGTTCTGAATCCCTGAAGTTGCTTACAACAGATTCCCGTGAAATTAATCGCGCGATAAATTTCATACTACACTTGCCATGTACGGCCGCCACGGTAATAGCAAATTTTATGTCAACTACCAAGCGTGTCTACACGCTTGTCGTGATCAAGAGGTCAAAGCTAATGTATGATAATGTATGATAATGCGATGTATGTGGAAGCACGCAGTTACAATCGCGTAGTACGTCAAAGGAACTTACGAATGGGTATACCCACGCGAATGATGTGGCCAGACAAAGTTGATTCTCATTCTATCGAACGTACAGAAGTACCATTTTGATATACCTGTGAACCTTGCTAAGTTCTTTTTTTAACTCTGCTCGAAATGAGCTTTGTCCTGCCTGCGGAATGTACGTACAAATTCAAACCGTTTCTTGGAAGTTACACTCGTACAGCCACATCTGCCGCGCGAGAAAAAGTACGCTTTCGATCCATTGTAACGAATAATGGAGTTGTTTAGCGGGCTGTGACGGGAATACAATTACACAGCATTAAAATGAACAACCGGGACATCGGATTTCTTAATCCTGTTAGACACGCGTCCTGCAATTCGATAAGGCCTGTTCCGTTCTAAGAACGGCGATGCTAACGCAGCCTTCACTCGTGAACACGAGCACGTCCGACGAAAGTAAAGGTTCGTGTACTTGTCATCCACCGAAAGTTATCGTTCGAATCAGTCATGGAAACCTGCCTCGTGATTCGCATGGATACGCGACCGCTCGCGGGGCAAAAATTCTTGCTCCCTAGGTAGCTGTCGACTTTGCGAGAACCGAGTTCTACTTGTTCTACAGATTTCGTTCATCCACCGAAACTATTCTGAATACCAACTAGGAGGGAGCTAGACATAGAAATAGCAGGGAAAATAGTGACGAGGATCCACACCTGGGTTGGATATTACAAAACCTTATGTTGCCTACTTGTCCAAATCTTTGTTTTATACCAAAGACCAGGTATTCTGGTACCTGGCTGATCTCCCAGAAGATGATTCTGTAGGTCTTCGTCACATTTTGAAGATTAAATGTAATACTACTCCACTGAAGCAAATTGTCTCTTTGGAGTAACAGCTCCAACCCCTAAGAGCAAGTTCAACTAGTTCGAACCACGAAGAAGTGAAGCGAGAAGATTATCCACGGTTTTGCTCAGTAGGCTCGCGCTGTCACCAGGAAAGCCATACTCGCGACAGGCGGCCAAGATAAGTGGCCACCGCATTTACGCTCGGTCCCTCGCGAGCAAAAGAAGACGAAGGACGGAGGGCACGGATGAAGAGGCAGCCAATCAAAGGAGGACGTAGTGGAGCCAACCAAGAAGCCCGGTCGACGTGCGTGCACCCGTTCTCGGATGTATGGAGGAATAAAGAAGGGAGCAGTAGCCTTCGTTCGTTCACCAGTAGCCAACCAAAGAGGAGCTGCTACCGTGCACCGCCCTACCGCTGACTACCGGTTTTCGGCCACTCGCTACTGAACCTCCACACAAATCCACCAAGCGGAACCACACCCTCCTCCTCTGAATCGACCTGTTGCCCTGGGGAGTACTTCGTTCAACGTGGAAGGACCTGTCAGGGAAGGGCAACTTCCTATTACGATTTCTCACCAGCCGTCCAATGAGAACGGAGACATGGTGGCACTCGATCGATCCCTGCACATTTTATGTAACACTCGGACTTCTGGGAGATTTGTATCTAACATGTGGTTGGACATTTCTAATTTCAGTCTATTTGGATAAGTGGTGAATTACGGTTAGACACTGGTTCAGGTTAGGCGCAATCATTGGCAAAGTTACGTGAGGGAATTTGATTTATTTTTCAAACTATTCGCATGACTTTCTTAAAAAAAATAAGGGCTGATAAAATGAGGTGTGCTAATAAAAATGATTGAAGTTGTAAATACTAAAAATTGTAATAAATGATAAGAATGCACTCTCTGGTCAATCTATCTCTTGATAATATCTATCAATGATAACGTTTGAATGAAATTAGTTGAAATCAGATTGCAATAGGCAGTGCTCAGGATAGGTAGTGTTGATCAGGCGTGAAGAGGCACGTCCAAAGTGACGATACAGGTTTCGAGAGCGTCGACGAATAAAAGATTCGGTACAGCGTAGGCTGGTAGCCAATCAAAATGAAGCAGCTACCGTGTACCGCCCTGTGGCACGCTACCGGTTTTGGGCCACTCACCACGAAGGCCCAAGAGACATCAACGAATGTGGACACCTTTTCCCGCCCGCTCGATTCGAAACACCTCTACTCTCCTCCACTAACACGCGTTCTTATCCAATTAAATTACAATAAATCGACACTATCATAAACGAATAAAAAGTGCATTAAAATTTGCAAAATGGTAAAAATGCCATGATTCGATGTCAGGACGCGATAACTATTTTTCAGCAGGCTGTATGAATATCGCAAGGCTTATTCGAGTAAAACGAATAAAAGTTGACGAGGTTACGTATATAAGGTGATAAGAAGAAAGTGTCGCGAGCGAGAAAGGAGAGTTAAAAAAGGACGATAAAAGTCGCACTTACCGGTTGAAGCCACCACGCGGGCACCGCAGTTCCCTCTGACGCCGGCTACTTCTGACCGCTTTCCAGAGAAGTAAACGTGTTCCGTGGAATTCCCCGAACCGAGGACCGAAATCGTAGCGCGTACAAGCGAAAGACAAGGCGGGAACTCGTTTTCGAGAAGTCGATTCAGAATCGAACGTGTGTCGGGATGCTGTCTTCCGGGCTGACAGGTCTGGACCGTTTGGGTGCGCGGCGTCGACTGAAGCTCCGTTTGCCCGCTCGGTTCGCTGGTAGCCCGAATAGGTAGGCACACCAGAAGACGGTAGGACGCGGTGTGTAACCGCCAAAGGTCTCCTTCGTCGTCGTCGTCTCGCTTCTTCTGGTTGGAGGACCGGGAGACACCTCCCTACCGAACCGACTCACCGATGCCCACCAGTTGTCGTTTGTTCGTGTGAGCCTCTCTCGATTCTACCAGAAACGCTCCAGGATCTTCCTTCCTTAGAACAGCGCAGCCGGTAGGTGGTGGTAGTAGAAGAGGTGCGCTGGAGGAATCGCGGAGGAGGAACGGGAGCAGAAGAGAAGGAAAAGGAAGAGAAGGCTAAAAGAGGAGGAAGAAGTGCTCTTATCCTGGCTCTCTCGATCTCTCCCTCTCTTTCTGTCTCTGCGGTGTCCTTGTCTGGCCAGTCACCGAATAGCAGCGCGGTTATTCACAAATCCTTCGACGACGCGGCTTCCTGAGCTCCTGGGAGAGTGCTCATCCGCCCTCCCTTTGCTCCAACTGTCCCTCGACATGCTCCCTCTCTTCCACGATCCCTTCCACCGGTCCAATGGGACCGCCCTCGTAACCGTCGGATCAGAGCATCCCTCTTCGCCCACGCGAACATCCTTTTCGAAACGTTCTTCCCACTCTTCGATGAATACCGACTCCGGCTTTCTTTCGTTTTCGCCCTCTCCGGCGCGCTTACCCCCCGCGGGGGCGGTAGCCGAGCCAGGGTACAAAGGAGGTAGCCGTTCGAGAGGAGCCACCGCGATCTTTCTCCCGCATTTTCATTGCCAGCGTCGAATTTTACCCCTCGGTCCCGATTCGATGCCACGGGACGTTCAGGTTTCGCGATCGATCCGATCCGGACGACCTGTCGCCGAAACGACCGAAACGAGTCCGCGTCAATCCGCTCGCCCACGCGAAAAAGCGGATCAGCTGAATCGGTTCCTGGAAGAGGATTCGCGGGAGCGGTGCGATCTCTTTGTCTTTATCGGGGTCTCTCGAGGCCAGAAAGCGCGACGCTGACGAAGGTGTGGGAGGAGGCGGAGGTGGAAGCGTGCAGGAACGAAGAGCGGGGGCTGACACGATGCCGCGGGGGTTCCCAGGGCACGTGGGAAATGCACAGTAGTCGATGTCAATCCCCCCACCAGCGCGGACACGCCGGGGTCCTGTCGGGCCCCGTCGGACCCCACTACGGACTCCGCTGGACCCAAGAGCCATCGCCGCAGC